CGGCAGGGCCAAAACACTAAAATTGGCGGCCCTCCAACAAAAACTGCAGAAACCTTTAGTGAGGTGGAAAGATTGGAACATTCAGGTAACCTCTGATGCAAGGAAATTTCCCAGCTGCAGAGAGGCCTCAACAGACTGCACCAATTGCATCAGGAACTTCAGCACCTATTCAAACTGAGTCTCTTGAGATACAAGATGGGACACCTTTTTCCCTCTGGAACTGGAATGATCATTCCCTAAGGTAGATAAAATCGAAAGCTTGTAAAAAAACCTGGACCTGAACAACGCCTCGCCCCCAGGGATACACTGCTAGTGGGGCCATGTTCAGGTTCCACCATACCTAAAAAGGTATGTGCGGTCCAACACCTCCAAAATCCTCACCTAGCTGAGGATCAGTGCCCTAGACTTATATAGCACTCTACCGGTCCGCAAGGTAATATATCATTTCACAGGGTCCAGTGCCAGATTTGAAACATTGTACAAGGTACGAGCACACAGATACACTGACAGGTTTGCAGGATCGCTGATGCAATGTTTTTTTTTTTTTTTCAGGCAAAACAAAAAAAAAAAAAAACCCGGGGGGGTCTATCAATTTTTTTTAACCACTTACCCGTTGCCATATAGCAGATACATTGCTACACAGCGGTTCGGGTGTGCAAAATCACATATATATTAACACATACATACTTATACACGTACATACATACATACTCACACACACGATTTTGTATTCCCCGATAGGGAAAAGTGCGCAAGCCCTACCCGCACCGCCGATCGCGGCCCTGGGTGTCAATCACCGGGCCCCAACTGATTACCTGCCGGCGCCCGGTGATTGCCTAAGATGACTGACGGGGAGGAGGGCTGCTTTGTTTACCAACAGCCCTCCTCCGTCAGCTTGGGCACACTGCTCTGGAGCAGTGTGCTTTATGGTGAAGCACACCCCCCCCCCCCAACCCCTAGTAAAAACACTCCCAGCATACCCCCCTTTGATCGCCCCAAATGTTAGCCCCTTCCTGCCCAGTGCCATTAGTACAGTGTCAGTGCTTTTTTTTTTTTTTTCAGCACTGATCACTGTACTGGTGTTACTGGCAATTTTTTTTTACTGGACATGTTGAACCGCTTCTGTGCCGCCCTATAGTAGAAATACTGCTACAGGTGTGCAAAATCACATATACATACATACACACGGGATTCGCGCCTCTCCCCAATAGCATCAGATTGCCCGTCCGTACACCAGTAATCACATTTAACCCCTTGATTGCCAGGAACACGCTCATACACAAACCTCGATTACTAGTATAGTGTCTGAAGAGATCTTTGATCAGATCAGCACTATACCAGCGTTCACATTAGTATAGTGTCCCCAAAAACGCTGCGTTAGCAGGATTAGCCCCGGCACCTGCGTTTAGCCCCTACGCTTAACCCCCCCCCCCCCCCCCCCCCAAGTGCAGGGTCAGTAGATCACTGTCACTTGATACATTGCACACAAAACCGCAGTGTTTGCAGAATCAGGCCTGATCTTTGCTAGCACCTGCCGTTAAATTTTTTTGTAGTGGTTCAAGCAGTCCCTGACAGATAGCTCAGACGATGGAAAAGAGGTCCCTGCTAAGATCAGGCGTACCCTGACCCCATTCCCAGGCTGCCGGGATGTTCCAAAACGCATGAGAACTCTCATATGCGGCAGAGTTCCAGTACTAGTGTCGCACTACCTTTTGGTGAACTGGTAAGCACCAGCTGCCTAGTACATCCTGGTCTTTCACATACCAGCACTGCAGTATCACTTGGAGATGTGGTGAGTCCCATAAGTGCAGTACAAGCTGGTGCAGTGGCGAGCACAAGTAGTGTCCCGCAACCACCAAGAATCACACACAGGCCCATAGAGCCCCTGGTATCCTTCTGGATGTGCTTGCAAATCCCGATTGGCAGCCCACAAATTCTGCAGCACCTGTACTTCCCCCATTCACTGCCCAACCCCAGAATTCAGGTGGAAACAGCAAACTTAAAATACTCTTCTGGATTTTTGGGAGCGGTTTTTCACACAAGATCTGTATGCATCGATTGTGGATCAAAGCAATATATATGCACAACAGTTTATCGCTGCCAACCCAAATTCAAACCTTGCAAGACTATTTACATAGAAACCCATTACGGTTTCTGAATTTAAAGTTCTTTTGGGCCTAACCCTCAACATGGGCATTACTAAAAAAAACGAATTGCAGTTGTATTGGTCCACAGACCCGATTCATCATATGCCCGTGTTCTCTGCTGCCATGGCCAGACAGATATGAGAGTATAATGTGTTTTATGCATTTCAACGACACTCGGTTGTCCTCGGGGTGACCCTGAATTTGACCGGCTCCACAAAATTCATTCCCTTGTAAATCACCTTAACCAAAAATTTGTAGAGGTCTATACTCCCCAGCAAACCATCTACGTTGAGGAGTCCCTCATTCATTTTTCTGGCTGCCTTGCATTCAAACAATTTCTCCCCAGCAAGCGTGCCAGATATGGGGTCAAGGTATATAAGACCTGTGAGAGGGAAACAGGCTATACATAGAAGCTTCTGATTTACGAGGGAAAAGATAGTCACGTGGAACTTCCCAGATGCCCAGACTACATGGAGAGCAGTGGCAAGATAGTTTGGGACTTGGTGTCATCTTTTTTCCATATGGGGTACCACTTATACGTGGACAATGTTTATTCATGCGTGCCACTATTTAGACATTTGTACAATCTTGGACCAGCAACATACTGGTACATCACTGGAATTTGAGTGGTTATACCTGGAGGATGCCTGCAGCTGCAGGCATCTTCCTGCTAGCGTTTTTATCAGGCGATTGGCTTTCATGTAAAAGCAATCCTAGTGGCTAATTAGCTGCAGGATTGCTTTAACAAGCAGCGGGAGAAGATGACCCCCCTCCCCCGCTGCCTTCTCGGGCAGTCCCATCCCATCGGTGGAACCTGAGAACGGAGCCGATGTTTCTGCCAGCTGACCATTTTGCTGATTGGAGACCGGAATGGTGCCAATCATCTCTATAGTCTAAGAAATAGGAAGCTATGAGCATTTCATCACTTCAGTTTTGCAGGACATAAACAGCGCCATTTGTAAATTGGGAAAATATCTGATCACACCGAACTTGGTGAGATTAGATAATGCAAGGGCAGAGGAGATATCTAGAGTCTGATAGACCCAAGATTTCTCAAAAAATATAGGACAATGCCCAATGAAGTTATAGGGGATATTTGCATTCCCTGTCATAGCATTAAAATTGATCAAAAAGCAAAAAAAAACACACAAACAAAAAAAAAACACACAAACAAAAAAACACAAACAAAAAAACACAAACAAAAAAAACACAAACAAAAAAACACAAACAAAAAAACACAAACAAAAAAACACAAACAAAAAAACACAAACAAAAAAACAAACAAAACAACAAAAATCAAAAATAACTTGACCCTGTGCCAGTATGTAAACAGCGGTTGCACCATGCATGTGAGGTATTGCCACAAACATCAGATCAAGGGCAGTAATTCTAGCACTAGACCACCGCTAAAAATCTAAAATGGTAGCTTGTAATGGCTTTTAAAACATTGCCTATGGATATTAAAAATGTATGCAGTTTGTCGCCATTGCACGGGGCATGCGTAGTTTTAAAGCATGTCAGGTTTGGTATCCAAGTATAAATAGCTGGGTCAACTGCGGAAAAACCCCACTGCTTGTAGACCACATGGGGTACTGGTGAGCAAAACACTTGAGTGGTGAAAGCACCTTCTCCAGGTTGGCCCAATAAAATACATTAACTCTTGTAAGCGAGGTGCACTGGAAAGTGTTTTTTGGCAGATACCATGACCCAGAACCAGTGAGACTTTAATGGAAGAGGATTCCAGCAGTAATTTAAAGGTTCGTGTATACCACATATGCCAGAAAGCCAACCATGGTCTTCGGGGTCTGAGACAAATGAATTTCCTTATGAATTTCCTCCAATGCACCATCCTCCCTTAAAAAGGAGGGGGGAAGAAGTAGTAGAGCACCCACAGTTGTGTCTAACATGTGCCAAGTCAGTGAGAACCCCCTGAGAGCTGTACACAGCACCCAGATATTACTGCATAAAATTCCATCCTTGACACAAAAGTACCAGATAAGGGCAGGTATTTTAGAACCAAGCTGACCCTCTGGTAAGCCATTGCAAGGTGTCCTCTTGACCTGATTTAGGAGCCCACCCCACTTGAGGCATGGGTGAGCTGGAAGGGATTATGCCTGACCAGGAATTTCTCCTGTTTTGAGCCAGTGTTCACTCACCTAAAAGGTGGCAGCATAACCCAGGTAGCCATGAATATTTAAATCCTCTGCAATAAATAGCTTAATTGTATATCAAAGGGCACAGAGGAGGGGGCAGAAGCAAAGACTGCAAGTCAAGTTAAAGATGGAGGTTACACTATATTCTACTTTCTGCTAAACAAGGGTTATGCTTTATTGCATTTATTAGCAGTTTGAACCAGACATTTGAAAACATTGCACTCCCTGTGTGGCTATTAACGTTTAAGGATGTACTCATGGCACGGAAGGACAATCAGTTGTGATGTTAAACCTTCAGTGTGTAGCACTTTAGTATTAAAGTGCAAAATTATTTTTACCTATACTCTAGTCAAAACTTAAGTGTTCCTTCATGCAGTCCATATCCCATTGGTGAAATTGCCGATCACTTCCTGTTACACAGAGAACAGGAAATGGGGGGAAATTTCTCCCCTACAAAAAAATACCATAAAAATAGGTAGCCCCCACTAGAAGATATGCTCTCATCCTCATATCCACTTTTTGTTCTAGTGACAATAGTAACCAAGAAAAAAAAAAAAAAAAAAAAAAAAAGTTTAAAATATCCCCAATGGGTATGCTTGCCTGGGGTTCTAAACCTTCACCATTCTGTACAAAAAAAAAAAAAAAAAAAAAAAACACACACTTGTTTTGATTAGCTTTCCATACAAATCTTGCCAAGTACCTATTGTGATTTCGGTCTGTGCCAAGGGGCGATCTTCTCAGCACTTGCTTTGCTTTTGCAATCCCTTCATGGAAAGCTTTCTCTGCAGAAGCTTTTTGCTTCCGCACTCTCTCCTCTTCTGCCTCTTTTTGAAATCTTTCTGTAATTGAAATGTGAGATAACAGGTTGTTAATGTAATATACAATCGTCGTGAGACAAAAAAAAATAAAAAATAAAAAAAACAAAAAACACACACTAGAAAACCAACTTCAAGAAGTGAGACTACATGAGGCATTATCTCACTTTAGTTATTTTCCGCCCCAAAAAGGCACCTGCTAGTCATCACTTTAAGGGCCAGTTCACACTACAAAAATGCATTCCGGATACTTTTTTGCTTACAGTTCACACCACACGCAGTTCCGGTGCAGTTTGCTATGTTCCAGTATGGTTCTGTGCAGAAAAAAAAAATGCAGCCTGTTCTATTTTTTTCTGCACCGGAAACTGACTGGAACTGGTGTGAACTAGGGAATACATGGAAAACACTGTGCATGCATTTTTGATGCAGAAAAAAAAAAAAAGCGCACTGAACTGCATCTAGTGAGAACTTGTCCTTAGGGCCGGTTCACACTATAGAAACAGTTCAGATCCGTTTTTTTGCACGTTCCAGGGCGTTTAAGCATTCCAGTTAATTTTTCCCCTCTTTTTCTTCCAATATAAATAGGGACATGTACATTCCAGTGTGTTTTGGTGCATTCCGGTACAATTTTGATGCATTTTACTGCGTTCTAGTACAGTTGTGCAGAAAAGATGCAGCATTTTTTTTTCAGCAACTGGAATGCACTAGAACTGCAAGAATGTTAACTATGACATTGTCAACCATATACCCTACTTTCTGTGTGTTTTGGACGCAGAAAAAAAGCTACTGAAACGCATGTAGTGTGAACTGGCCCTTATGGCTAGTTCACACTAGATGCAGATCAGTGTGCTTTTTTCCTGCATCAAAAAAAATGCATGCACAGTGTTTTTCATGTATTCCAAAGGCCCTAGTTAACACTAGTGCAGACAGCTCCAGTCAGTTTCCAGTGCAGAAAAACAAAAAAAGTAGAACATGCTGCATACTGGAACATGGCAAACTGCATCAAAACTGAACCGAAACTGCGTGTCGTGTGAACTGTAAGCAAAAACGTATCCGGAATGTGTTTTTATAGTATGAACTGGCCATTAGTAAGCAAAAGCCATAGAGTCATACTTTGCTTATACTGCCTGTGCACGTCAAAAAGAAAATTAGCAATAACGTAAGTGCATTGCTAACAACTTTAGGTTGTAATTTCACACATACACAAAAAGTAAAAAAAAAAAAAAAAAAAAAAGATCAAATCTTAAATTTTTTTCCAACTAAAGGCAATGTGCAAAGATCTGCCAGACCTTAAAGAGTAACTCCACTTTTGTTGAGAAAAAAAAACCCCCAAAAAACAAACCCAAAACACATCCCTCTCTAGGTAAGCAACGTACAAGGCAAAGATTTTAACAAAACTTTGTTGCAGAGTACTAACTTTTGTTATTCTGAAGATATAGCTGCGTGTGTCCATGTGTAGAGTGAATCTGCATGGGAGTGGTTTCTCAATCAGCTGCTGCACCTGAAGGGCTCTAATGAGAAAAACTGCAGGGTACATTTTCCTTTAGGCCTGGTTCACACCTATGCGTTTTTAGGTTTGCAGAAACGCAGTACAGTTCATTTAACATGATTTCCTATGGGTCACGTTCATACCTCAGTCATTTCCACTGGTGAGTTTTTTGGAACTGGTCAGGGACTTTACACTTCCCAAAAACACAACGCAACAGAACACATTAAAAATGAGTCAAACGCATGTGAGAAAAAGCATCAACCGCAACCTTCATAGGCGTGAACCAGGCCTTAGGCATGATTTCCCTCTGGGAGAACACTAAAATTACATTTTGTTGCAGGGGATGCAAAAAATCTGTCTCAAAGTCTGCAATAAAATACAAATCAATCACACAAGGAGGAAATGACATCTGAGGTGTTTTGCACACCATGTGTGTACAGAATGCCTCCAGATAGTCATATTGAACTGCATTTTCCAGAAAATCACAGCACCGCAAATTGAAAAGGAAAGGTAATTTTTAATAACATACTACTACGACACATGTGTCACAATTATATGTATATTTAATTTTTTTTTTTTCTATTTTTCCACGAAAGTGGAGTTACCCTTTAAATGTGGATTTTAACATCTAAAAACAGAATTCAGAAAACGATGTTATATACTGAAGCCAAAAGTTTTACCTTTAGTAAGTTTTTCATTTTCCTCCTTTTCCTTTTTGCTTGTATAGCCTGCAGCCTCCTACTTTTCACGGCACTGATCATGTCCTCGGGTTCCTGCTCCCCTGGGGCTGGATCCGTTTTATTTACTTTTTCACCTTTCTTAGAAAGTTGCTTGGGAACTACTCCTTCCTCTTTACCCTTGGCCTCCAATTCCTTCCTTTTTTGTTTCGCTGCCCGCTTTTTTATCATTTTCTTCTTTCAGCATGGCTAACCTCTCCTTCCAGAGTTCACCTGATTTCTGCTGCTTCTCGTCCACGTGGTCCTGTACAGAGTACGTCATGAGGATGCGGTGACAGAGAGCAGTGAGGATGTGAAGCTTTTCCTCTGTCATCAATTCAAAAAACTCTGAGGTTTCCAATTTCTCCAGAAATTCATCCTCCACCTCATCATCCTGGAAAACAGCAGAACCCTCACTTTCGTCATCCCCCTTCTCTGTACTGTCACTTTCTCCAGGAGCATCAGATTTTCTGAGGCACAAACGAACAAGCTCTGAAGCAGAATGCATTGTGAGTGGAATCTCTGACAGCTTCATCCCAAGCTCACCATAATCCTCTGCAATCTCATCCTGCAAGAGCGTTTGTAGTAGCACAACAAGCACTCTGTTAAGGTAGAGAAAGCCACCCCTTTCAGCAGCAAGGGCATCCATAAGAGAAATTGCAGTGACTGGGTACTGACCATCCGGAAGTAGCAGGTCAGAGTAACAACTGAGAAACTCTACAACCATTGCTACATCACCAAACAAAGCATTTGGCAGCCCCTCTGGAGTGTCTACCAACTTGAAAGTTGGCAAATGCTTCCCGGCCAAATCCTGGTCCTCAAATCTCTTTTGCTTCTCTAATCGTTCCTCTTTCTCTTTCTGCTTTCGTTCCCGAGCCTTTTCTTTAAGTCGTTCTCTTAACACCTCCCTCTTCTTCCTCATGTGCTCCTCCTTCTCTGCTTCGGTCATCATAGCCCAGCGCTTACGCTCCTCCAAATGCTCATAACGCTTCTGTACCAGTTCTTTTATCTCATCAGGCAGTCTACTGCGTTCTTCATCAGTAAGAAGCCTTGCCACTTTAGAGATAAGAGCAGATAAAGGGCTCTTGCGGTCTTCACGGTTCTTGTTGTCACGGTAGTAAGAAATCAAGTGCAATGCAGCAGCAGGAAGCCTTTTATTTGGCTTGCTAGCTGATTTTAGAGCAGCCGACGCACTCTTAGGTCGAGATGCTTTAGAAGCCTTAGCCATATCCAGCAACGTCATCTGCTTTAGTTTTGAATTTTTTAGAACCTTTTTAGGGGAGCGAACTTTACCAGACACTTTCTGCCCATTGATGACCTGAGACTTGCCATTTTTCTTTTTTCCTGTTGAAGTGCCTCTCTTAAGTTTAGAACTCATGAGTTTCATTAATTTTTGCAGATCCTCTGGTGAATATTTTCCTTCCAAGTCTTTCAGTTTGAAAGGTGAACCTTGTACCACTTTTTTGAGGTTTAGCTGGCCAAACACACTAGGGCTGAGAGGATATTTCTTGCCTTTTTGAACAGATTTGTCACCATCAGTCTTGGATTTTTTTGGTTTCTGATCTGGAGATCCTACACTCTTCCTTTTTGTTGCTGGTGTTGGATTTGAAGTCATGTACTACAAAAAAAAAAAAAAAAAAAAAAAAAAAAATTAACAGGTCTTACATAATAGCAATACATTGAGGAATTTTTTAATACAATTTAGCAAGGCACTATATTGTGATTTAGGGCCCTTTCACGTGGGTGGCTTACATTACAATCAGAGGATCAGCTCACAGATCTCCAGCTGATCAGCGCAGAGCAGTGTGAATGACAGGTATGTGTCATGCAGTTTCAGCAGAACTGACAAGGACAGACCTCAACTCTGCTCTATTGGCGGCCGGGAGTAAAAGACTCTGTCCATTTACACCCAACTGCAGCCAATCTGGTCCGCCCAAAACGGAAGAGGACAGTTGTCATCCAATTTTAGCAGTCCTGATCAGACCCAGAGGTCCGTTTGTACCCCATCCACCGGTCCATAGGAATGCATGGACCATCCAATCAGGTCCACCTTAAAAACTGACACACAGACCTGATCGGACCTACCATATAAAAAAGGCCCTTCTACAATGATCATTATAAAGTATGCTGCACAATCAACAGATGACCAGAAATAGTATGCAACAGTTCCTAAACGCACTGCTGAAACCAGAAACTGCCCCATCATTCCCGATTTCAGCAATGCGGAGTCATTCTGTTATGAATAGTTGAACAATGTAAAAAGGGGGGAAATGTCAGTGCGTCTTATGGAGCAAATATGGAGCGGTCGGTCCGGTATTCCCACTGCCGCGTCAGAATACCGGGCCGGCCGCTCGTCTCTTCTCTGCAGCAGAACCTTTCCTGTTCCTCGATCCAGCGCTGTACAGTCTTCCGGCGCCGGCATCTTTAGTGTGGGCACCCGGCTGTGACAGCTGGGTGCCCACTACGCATGTGCGAGAAGCGCTGCGCTTTGTGAATGGTACGGCGTCTTCTGGGACCAATCACAAAGCACAGCGCTTCTCGAGCATGCACAGTGGGCACCCGGCTATCAGCCGGGTGCCCTCACTAAAGGGAGAACAACTCCGCAGAAGTGGGAGCTGGTACCTGTCAAATTCAGGTACCCGCTCTTCCTCCCTAAAGGTCCGCAGTCTCCGGGTCATTCCCTGTACCGCGCCCGCAGTCTCCGGTCATCCCCTGTACCGCGCCCGCAGTCTCCGGTCATCCCCTGTACCGCGCCCGCAGTCTCCGGTCATCCCCTGTACCGTGCCCGCAGTCTCCGGTCATCCCCTGTACCGTGCCCGCAGTCTCCGGTCATCCCCTGTACCGTGCCCGCAGTCTCCGGTCATCCCCTGTACCGTGCCCGCAGTCTCCGGTCATCCCCTGTACCGTGCCGCAGTCTCCGGTCATCCCCTGTACCGTGTCCGCAGTCTCCGGTCATCCCCTGTACCGTGTCCGCAGTCTCTGGTCATCTCCTGTACCGTGTCCGCATCTCTGGTCATCCCTGTGTGTGTGCTGTCCATTGGTTCAGAATATTTTTTTTGTTTTCCTCCTCTAAAACCTAGGCGCGTCTTATGGTCAGATGCGTCTTATGGAGTGAAAAATACGGTAATTTCAGTCTGTCAAGAGTTACACACTGGTCACTCACACATACAGCATTGTACACCACATGACATAACCTTTTAACGGTTTGGGGTTGAGGGATAAGAGCTGTCCTCCTCAACAAGAGTAAATGTAATTTAGCAACTTACTTTATGTGGATCCAGTAAAAAGTCACTGAACTTGCTGGGCAAGGAGTACTTCTTAACCAAGTCATCCTCAACAACCCATGGAGCATTTTCCCCTGTGCCTATCCGCAAAGAATTATGACGGATGAAGTAGCGAAGTATCTCTTTATTGGGAGGGCGCTCCGAGCGATACAGACTTTCTACAGGAACCATGCTGATGACCTGAATAAAAAAAAAAAAAATGGGGAAAGTAGGTTAACAGTTTTAAGCACAATTATTTATATTAAAGCAGTTTGGCAAAACTATGAAGTTTGGTGAGCAAAGGACAAGAGTAAGGTCTTTCACACAAAGGCTGATTTACTAAAATGGCAAAACCTTTGGATAATTAACATGAATATTCACTCAATTTGAGCAATAGTGAAAATCAAATTTCTGCTCACTTTGAATATTCAACCATGTGCTAACAGAACAATTCTTTGGGAATTTTGCTTTTTACATGACTGCATTATTGAAGTGTACCAAGTTTTTGACTTGCCTGTAAAATCCATTTCTTGGCACCTAGTACAGGACATAGGCAGACTAGGCCATGGCAAAGCAATATGAATGAGAATGTAACAAGGCAACCAGACAACAGACTCTGAACAGCCAAACCACAGCCAGTATTCCAAACCACAGCCTGATGACCTTGCAAACAAAAAGCAGCATCAGCCAAGGCCTGAACATCTGCCTGGTGAAGCTCAGTATAAGTATGAATTGGAGACTAGATGGCAGCCTTACAAATCTGCAATGTTGAAGCCTGATGCTGAAAGCCTAGAATGCATTGATGGGATCTAGTACAACCCCAATTCCAAAAAGGTTGGGACGTCGAGTAAAAACAGAACACAAGGATTTGCAACTCTCAAAGCTTTATTTTATGGACAACAGAAAACACATCAAATGTTTGAACCAAGAAAACCTACCACTAAGAAAATCTGTAATTTTGAAAAATGTAAAAAAAAAAAAGAAAAAAAAAAAAAAAAAAAAAAAAGTTAGTACAGGGCCATGTTTACTATGGTGTAGCATGCCCGCTTTTAAAAAAAAGCAAACACTCCGTAAAACATCTGGGAACAGAAGCGATCAGCTTTTGGCGTTTTAGGAGAGGAATGTTGTCCCATTCTTGCCTGACAATGGATTCTGACTACTGACTTGTCCTAGGTCGTCTGTTGAAAATATTTGGTGCATTTTGAAACGAAATATACAACTGATGAAAGGTTTGGAACGCAGGCCAGTTAAGCACCCGGACTCTTCCACTATGAAGCCATGTTGTAGCCATCAATGCAGTAAGCGGTTTAGCATTGTCCTTCTGAAATATGCAAGGCTTTCCATGGAAAATAGAACTAAAAATATACACCACAAAAATTAGGTACAAAGCCTATAGTTAGGCTTCTGACTCACCAACAGTACTGGTGTGGATTTAAACCGAACATAAATTAGGTAAAGAAAAAAAGCAGTTGTAAAGAATAAACTGGAAAGTCGGTATTCTTATATCCCAAGCAGAGTAACCAAAATGCATCCAATAGAATGCAAAAATATATTTATTATGTGTGATCACAAAGATCGTTTGAAGAATATGTATCTTCACAAAGTGAACATACATATTCTTCAAACAATATTAAAAGACCATGTAATTAAAAACATGAAGTCCATGATGATTGGTGGACGAAACGCATCAGTATGATGTCATCACACCCTCGCATGACGTATGCCGCAGCCTCCATGCTCAGGATGACGCATGTTTATGCCTCCGTGCTGGAAACACGGCAGACTGGAAATCAAAGCATGCAGCACTAGGTCTTTTGAGAATCTTCATCCAATAGCCAATGATGCAATAGCGACAGCGAACAAGTAAAAGTTGGCTATGCTTAATAGCTCTCCACAGGAAAATGAAGCAAGAACACTGCAATATGGATCCTCGAGGAGCTTCATCCGCCAATCATCGCATACTTCAGGTTTTTAATCACACGGTCTATTGACTGTTTTGTGATCACACAAATATATTTTTGCATTCTATTTGATGAATTTTGTTACTGTGCTTGGGATAATAATAATAATAATAATAATACTGACTATTCACAGTTTGTTCTTTACAACTGCTTTTTTTCTTTTCCATGGAAAATACATTGTCTGGATGGAAGCATGGATACATCTTTCAGCACTGATGGTGGCTTTCCATAGGCACTAATACACCGCCATACCATCAGAGATGCAGGCTCTGAACAGCATGCCGATAAGCCAGAAGCAGCGCTAAATATACAGCTGGCTGGTGGATATAACCACCCTATATATTGGATAATAGTAAGTAACATAAACCATACAATTTTCTATATATGGTGTTAGATCTAATCGGACCTGATTCGGTGATACACAAGTGATAATCAGTGCAGAGTAAGAGGTTCTATAGAACCTATACAGGTGGTATAAATTTCCTTCCCGTCGAGGGATTATAGCAGAAATGAACGTGATTACAACCACAGTGAATCCCTATACAGGGATAAAAACTACCACATAGGTGATACGTGCTATGACCCGTATTAAAACAAACCACAACACATAAAAGTCCATATGAAACCTTCAAACTGCTGCATGGTCACTCCAGCCATGCGTTTTCATGCGTGCTCCTGCGTTTGGTGAGACAGTGAAGTGAGAATCCTACACAGCAAGGCGCATTAAAAACGTAGGATTCTCACCAAACACAGGAGCACGCATGAAAACGCACGGCTGGAGTGACCATGCAGCAGTTTGAAGGTTTCATATGGACTTTTATGTGTTATTGTGGTTTGTTTTAATGCGCCCTGCTGTGTAGGATTCTCATAGGATTGCATAGAAACCAATCAGCTTTCAGGTTTTGTCAAAGCTTAATTGAACAAAGTGAAGTTAGAAGCAATTTGCTACCATGCACAGCTTCACCAGATTCCGAGTGCTCCAATTTTAGTAAATCTCCCCCACTGACTCTAAGATGCTTTTTTTAATACCCAGTCATGTTACTGACCTGTTGCCAATTAACCCAATTAGTTGCAAAAAGTTTTTACAGCTCTTCCTTGTTGGTCCTACTCTGCCAGTTTTTGTTGCCCTGTCCCCGGCCCCTGCAAAATATTTTTTCTTAAAAAATGGCACATCTCAGTTTAAACATTTGATGTTTTCTATTGTGAATATTGCATATATATAGTTTATTAATGATTTCCAACTCATTGCATTTTTTTGGAAGTGGGGTTGTATAATAAACAGTCAGTCATAAACCACAACCCGACACATCCACCTAGCAAAGACATGGGGTAACAGCCTGCGATATCCCTCAGAGCACAAAGATGCAAAAGACTGAAAACTTGACTCTAGCAGCTTAAACCATATACAGAGCGAAGGGCCACCTCTCAAGGGTGTTTTGGAGCAGGAGAAAGATGTCTTGATTAAAAAGGTAAAAGGGAGACACCACCTTATAAAGAGATCGTAGGCCAAATGACAACCTAATCCTTGTGATCCACACTCAAAAGCATAGGGATGACCAATTCAGCCAGACCGTCCTCTGAGGCTGTCAAAGCATGCAACTGAAACCAGGATGGAACACTGAAGCCTGAGACAGTAGATCCAAGCAGTCTAGCAATGACCATGGAACGCTTATGAGAAACCTGAGAATGTGTGCGCACCATGGTATTTTTGGCTAATTTGAGGCCACAAGAACCACTGGGACACCCCCAAACTTCATACAGCAGCGCAGGCAAGGGAGGAAAGGCATATATCAGGGAGCACTGATCCCACAGGATCACCAAAACATTCTCTGCAGAGGGTTCTTGGATCCTGCAATCAAGACAAGCCTTTACCTTGTGTTTAAAGCATGGCATTCAAAAAGGTTCACATTCGGTGTCCACCTGACAAATGTCAGGGAACACCTTCTGGTATAGAGACCACCCTCCCAATTTCAGCTGATAGAGGCCAAGAAAGTCCACTTGCCAATTTTCCAAACCTGGAATGTGTATAGTCAACAAGGCCAGAACAAGATGTTCTGCCCAGAGCAGAATCAGGTCCCACTTCTCTGAGCTGTTTGACTTCTGGCTCAGCCTGGTGACTGATGTAAGGCAAAGTTATGGTGTTGCCTGACTGAACCCGCCTCGGAAATCCTTGAAGGCAACTTGTCTACAAGGGCAAAGTGAATAGTTCAGAGTTCCAAAACGTTGATGAGAAGTCATGATTCCTTTGCCGACCAGGTCCCTGCAATGTCAACATCTCCCCAGTCCACCCTGATGGTGTCTGTCATTAGCACTTTACAAGTCAATGGGAAAAAGGACTTTCCTGATTTCAGAGCCAGACTGAACACCCACCATGTCAGTGTGTCTGGCCTCCGCTGACTGAAGCATGGGTCTATCTAAAGAAGTCTGCTTTTCCCACACAGCCAATATGTGCTTTTGTAACTGCCTAGAGTGAGCATATGGCACTGCCTCGAAGGAGCTCACCATAAAAATCAGGACCCTCTTGCAAATCTGCACCGAGGGTAAACAGAATAGGAGAGTCTGTGCCTAACCTCAATAGGAGTTTTGCTACGGAAAGAAAAACACTCGAGACAGTTGTACCCAGGGCAAGGCAGAGCTAGTTCAAACTGTGAGAAGTAGACAATGCAGATTTTTGGGGAATGAGGATCCAACTGAAGGCTTGCAACAGTTAAACCATCCACTGAATGTTGCAGGACAAAAAAAAAAAAAAAACCCTGCAGTTATTTACCTGTTAACTGTATTTCCAGGAATCTTTCAGGACAGCTTCAGATGAGAGACGGGCTCCTCCCAGGAAACACCCGATCCACCTTCTTTTCCATAAATAGCCTCTCTCCATAGGGGACCCTCAGTACAGGAATATAACCAAAGGCCTAGGATAAAGCATAAAGATAACAGTAGGAACAATATATGACCAGTCCATTGAATGACAAAGCGCCAGCGTATAACTATACAGTAACTGGGAGGGAGCTACGCTGTCCTGGAAGATTCCTGGAAATACAGTTAACAGGTAAATAACTGCGTTTTCCAGAGTCATCTTCCAGGACAGCTTCACGTGAGAAGATTGAGTAGGAATACGTACATTAGGGCGGTGCTGTCGCTTCCAGGACTTTCCTGCCTAACACCTGGTTCTTGTTGCCGATCAGGTCCAACCAGTAGTGCCTGGCAAAGGTGCTAAAGCTGGACCATGTTGCGGCCCTGCAG